TTATTTAACTTTAAACAAAAAAGGTTAAACAAATTAGTAAACTATTTCTATGAAGTAATTAATACTCATCTCGAAGAAATGAAAGCAAATCTGTAATGAAAAATATGAATAAATGAATCGAAATCACCTATAATTAAATTAATTTGCAATAGAAAGCATAGTGGAAAAGTGAACTTAAAGATCTGATGGATATGTACGATCAAAGAATTTAATCGTATTGCGTCATTTCTTATCTTTCTAATTTTACTATTAACGACCGCTCTAGCTTATCAGTTATTAGTGAATGGCTTATTTGATCATTTATTTCTGCAAAAACTGTACAAAATAAAAATTTCTTCAATATTTTTGAAAGTTTAATTATACATATATAGTGTAATGAATGATAGGAAAGGGAATTTTGAAGTGGTGTCATTGCAAGCGATGATGATTGTTAGCATTTAAAGGGAAAAAATTGAAAAATTCATAAATTTTTAATAAATTTCTTGCAGAGAATTGAGGATGAGTAGAAAATAGCAAAGGACAAGCACTCCGTTCAATGCAAAATTGAATCATTTCATTCAAGACCCAACTCTCCGCTTTTGTAAACAACACAATTCATTACCAACCAACCAAACCAACCAGCCAATCATCACAAGCATCATTTAAATAATACAAATGCTCAAACATATTGATTATTATTTCAAACTTACTTTACCAATATTTTTCTAATTCAAATTATGTCCTATATTAACGTATCATAATTCATTCTCAAAAGTTATCAATTCATGAAATTAATATTAAACTGATAATTAGAAGCTTACTTATTTATTACTTACATATAAAAACAATAAAATGGTTACATTTTTATCTTATTTTAGTTGTTCTTAAAATTGGAATTTATATCAAGAAAAGTTTATTTGACGTTTATTTAATTTGATTAAGTTTTATTCGTTGTGCACGAAAAAAAGATAATTTTTTTGCTGCAATAGCAAAAGAAAAACAATCCTTGATGTTTCTAATGAAAACTTTTAAATATAATATGTGACAGTCAATTAGCTATATTAATATTTTAAATGAAATTTTTGAATAGAACGATATAGTTATTGCAAATGAAAGTCTTAAAACGATGGTTTTAGCAAAAATTTCATTATTAAAGAAAATATTTGAGTTTATTATTCTCTTTTGATCAGAACTAAAAGTTTTCTAATCACTTCTTCCTCTCTAACTTTAACTGACCACAAACAATAAATCAGTGAAGTAAAATAAAATCGAAAGACATTGTGTGACAATAAAAGGATATGTAATCAATTCAATGTTGACAAACCTATGGATTGGTTGCTTGGTTGTATTTATTAATTCAACAAAACTTCTACACTTTATTTCATGTTAGAGTGATTCGATCACTACATAACTGCTTTGCACTTTGTAAGTTCTAAAACTTCTAATTTTAGTTTTACTCTATCAAAATTTGCTTTGTTCTAAAACTAGATTTTTAAAATTCTAAAAAAGTAGCGGCAAAAAAATTTCATAAATAATTAGAAACGATAATGAACTTGTAAAATTTTAAAGAGTTAACCGTAATAACTTGAAGATATTAGGAATAATTTTTATTACATTTTCAATGAAAATAAAAATTGCTATTTCAAGCAGGAAAATTGAAGACATTTTAATTATGTTTTTATTCAAAAGTATGCAATTTTACATTTTATTTGATGAAATCCTATACTTTGCTATGAAATGTACCATATAATAGTTAAAATGTGACATAGTAGATATGATATGATGAAGAAAATGTGACACGAAAATTAAACTTATGCTACTTCTTGTATGGATGAAATAATCTTTCAATATTAAGAAATTTCAGTTAACACATTTGCAGGAATGGATCAAAACTGATCACTGATATGAAGATATCAGCTTAATCCATATCATAAAGTTTTGATTTCATTTTAAATTGAATGTTACAAAGGAACAAAGATTTGGAAGACAGAGTATTACAGAAATATATTCTCATATCAGTGAGAAATTTTAATACCCATTTAGTGATTGGTTATTAATCAAATTTACGAAAATTATATTACTGAACGATGATAATATATATAATGAAATGACTTCAAATTGTTGCAATTTAAAGGTTGATTATTGCAATTTAAAGAGAAGATGGAATATTGGTCGTTTGACATTTATAATTTCAGTCCTTAATTTCTTCCTCTACGCATTTCCTGTATCGCTGTGATATTTCACAATTATTGTTGTTGAATTATTCTTTTCCTTAGTGGACAATGGCTTCAATCTTTTCGACATCAAAAATTTCACCTCTCTTTTTTATCTCTCTTTCTCTCTTTTAGAATAACACAATAAAATCCTTCACCTTATTTGAGATATATGCACAAAATTATGGTTTAAGTTTATACATAGGCAAAAATATCAAAATATCAGAAAATTTTTTTTAGAATTTTTTTTTTTTTAGAATTAGAAAATATCTGAAAATTTTTTTTTTTTTTTAGAAGTAGAATTAGTTTTTAAAAGTTTTCATCTTAATTAATTAACTGAAATTAGAATTAATGTCAATTTTATGAACACTGATTCATCGTTTTGTGTGTTACTCATAGCGCTGGAACAAAATAAAAAAATTTTATGCGACATATGTCGCGAATTATAATTTCGCGAAAACTCCTATCTAAAAATAATCCCATAATATCATAAATTATCTCTACATAAATCTAATTTCTTAAGATTTTTCACATGTGATTTTCATCATAGATACGTTCAATTCTCACATTGTAAATTCTCAATTTTTTTTAGACACTTCCAACTCTTCAGACATTGTAAAACAATCTTATAGTATCTTAAATTATCTCTCTTTAAATCTAGTTTTTTTGGTTTATTACACATGTAATCTCATATCATAAATTCTCAATTCTCATGAACATTTCCGATTCTTCACACTTTTATCTTAGACACGCCCAATTACCACTCATATAAAATTCAATCCTAAAAAATTACAATTATTTTTTGTCTTTAAGGTCGATTACTACTCGGTTAACCAATTTCAATTCCTCCGGTCTTCTTTTATAAATTTCTTCACTTTTTTTTATTGCTCGGTTTGTTAACATTACGTTCTAGAAAAAATAAAGGTTTATTAATCTTCCCATAGGAAGTATTGCAACTATTCAATAAATATCAACCAGACAACCTTTCATGACAACATATGTTAAGATATAAAATGAGGCCTAGCATCTTAAATTATATATGATTTTTATCGAAATAATGAAGATACTCCATTGAGTGAGAGCAAGAAATCGGAAATTGTATTAATTAGAAATCTTCAATCAATATTGTAAAAATTTTAATGTGAGTGGGAAACAAATTTTCAGTATTTGAGTATTTTAAGCAAAAACTTTTATACGGTATAAATTAATACTCCAAACAAAGTAAATAAGCATTAGATCGAACTTTAAGTGGTAATTTGTTGATAGAAAAAAAAAATGCGTAATTTAAGACAAAAACCCATGTGGGGTATCAATAGAATGATATAATGTTTTATTTTTAAGTATAAGCACTTCACTGCAAATATAATATTCTTAAATTTATGAATTGCTAAAAATCTTCATTGTATTTTCGATCTTAGCTAAAGGAATCATAATGATTTTCAAATTAAACAGCATTTAAAACGAGACATAAAATCGAAAATGTCTCATGTAAAATTGTTTAGAAATAAATGAATAATTTTTAAAACTTAAAAAAAAGAACAGAAATTCATTATTATAAAAAAAAAAATGGAATCTTTACAAAAATTTTAAAGAAAAGATTTGAATTTTCATTTATTTTTGAAAAAAAGATAAAGCAAGAAAGGCACATGAAAAATTAGTTATACGCACAATAATTATCTAAGTCCAATACTATTTGTATGCCAAAGTCAAATTATAAAGCAATTAAATACCAAATAGTCATTTGATGAATTTGTTGATTATTTGATATGTTAAGAATGTCAAATAATCGTGGTTTGGTGACAGTTCCAAAAAAATTAATTGTAAATATTTAATCACAAATAAGGAATTTCGCATCCTATATTTATTTTAACATTTTTACTTATTGGAAAATTTAGCAAACATCATACAAAAAGCATAATTATTGGTGGGAGAAAAAGTGTCAAATTGTAAACTAAAATTCAAAAGTTAGAGAAATTAGAAATACAACTGATAATCATTAAAAATATTGCAGCTATCATCAAGAACGAAAAAAATTCAAGATGACAAATATGACACATCCAATTCAAATAGCTTATTTATACCACTTAAAAAATTTCCAAATATAATCTAAAATGAGCCATTTTTGTCCTCAAATTTTTCCGAAACAACAATAAAGTATGAGAAAAAAGCAGAACGAATAAGCTATTATCAAGAAATGCCAATTGAAAATTATGATTCTAAAAGGCAGTTTTTGTAGGATTACTCTGAGATTTAAGAGGATAATGCTAATTTGGAATTGTTCAAATTTGTTGAAAAAGTGAAAAAATGGACCAAATTTATAATCCTTTTTGATAACCAATCATTTTCAGCTATTATGCAAACTATTTTCATTTATCTCCTTTTGAAAATAGAAATGGCTTTTAATGAAAGCAAATGTTTTTCAGCGAATCATATTTCAATAAAATGAAAAATGACGAATTTTTCACCGTATATTTAATAAAAAAAAGAAAAATTAAAAAAGCAAAGGACAAAATCGCACTAAACATTTGTATATGTGAGAAAGATTAATGTAAAATAATGGAAGCGAGACATTCATGCATTAGTTTTCAAAAAAAAAAAAAAAAATCGAAATGTTTATGATTGACCTTCTCTTCCTCGTTTATATCATTTTAACTAATTACTGCTGATGGAATGAAATAAATAAAAGCATTTTGTTTTAAAAATTTAAATTAACAATAAATGAAAGGAAATTCAGACTAGGATATTGAAAGATCGTTGAGTTGAGAATCAATTTCGAATAGAAATTATTTGATAATAAAGCGATGGAATTTAAGGCCAAAAAAGCATCATTAATGATATTAATAAAATTAATGAATGAATTTCTATCCATAAGCAACCAGCAGTTTGTCCTTCATCATCATCATTACTGCTGTCACCAGCTTCAACTCTTGTCTCAGTTAATTCAGCTGATGTACTACCAGTATCATCATCCACTGATAGCAATGTTTCACCAGCTATAAAAAAAATGGTTCGAAAAAAATGTAATATTGAAAATACCATCCTTTTATTATGTTTTAAAATCTTAACCTCAATCTTAATAATAATTTCATTTGTTTTTTGTTTTTTCCTTTTTTTTCGAATTTGCTGATTTTTTTCATGCATTAATTTTTTTAAATTTCTGATCAAAAAAACAAAACAATACAAATAGAATAGAAATAGTTAATAATTAAATTTTCGAATTATGTTCACACCTTTCATACCTTCTTGACCATCCATTTCACATCCTTCTGTTGCTTCAGCATATTCTTCGCCCTCCTTCACCTTATTTTCAGTTACCTCATCTAAATTCTCTTCTTGAAATTGATCATATCCGACTTTGCTTACATCATTTTTTGAGGATTCATCCATCTCACCATCAGACGATTCAGGCATTTCATCATCTAATGCCTCATTTTCAGCCACTACTCCACAAGTTAATCCTGTGAAACCTTCATAACAAACGCATTTTCCACATTCACAGCTACCTTGTCCACTGCAAATTTTCTGGAAAAAGAAAAACAAAAATTCCGATAAGCTACATTAAACAATTAAAGAGTGAAATGTTGATAATAAAGTTTACATCCTAAATTTTTAAAAAAATCCACAGGAAAAAAAGTTAAACACAGATACAATAAAGAAATAAGTAGAAAATTTGATTCACACACGCTCATACTATAGAAAATAAAACATTTGCACAAAAATAAATTTTTTTTTTTCATATAAATAATTTGAAAAAAAAAAACGCATATGCAAAATTTTTAATATAAAATAAAAAATTTTCACAATTCTTCCTGAAACTTACTCCGCCTTCTAGACATGAAGAAGTATCGAGAGTGCACGAGCAATCATCACCTGCATAACCTTCTTCACAATGACATTTGCCACATTTGCATTCACCCTGGCTTGCACACATTCTGTCATTAGAAGTTGGACATGACATATTTTTACATTCGCAATGATCTCCACGAACCTATAATAACTGAATTCTGCAAAAGTTTCCTCATATTGCATTGCATCGATATGTAGATCAATGTATAATAAATATTGTATTATATGTTTTTATTATTGTATTCGAATTTAAATCTTTTTAAATTTCGAAATTAAAGTCGAATTTTGAATTCAACTAAAAATACTGCAGTCAAAGGAAAATTTTTTCATTTTAACAAATAAATAAATTTAAAATTCCAAAAAAATAGAGATAATCAGTTGTCCATGCCTACGTATTCAGCGTATATAACGGAATTTCGGTGTATCTCAACTCTTTTTCAAATAATAGACATAATTCTAAAGTTAGTATTGGGTAAAATTGATTTAGTAAAACGCTAAATACACTTACGTGTTCGACGCTGCAATCACAGCTACCGCATTTACACTGACCATTACCGCTACAAACTAAATCTTTCGGAGTTCTAAAATGATAATAAACGTTTGCTTTAATCTTTTCCACTTTAATTTATTAGAATGATATCTTATCAAGCTATTTGGTGAGATTTATCATGCTATGGTATGAATTATAAATTAACTTGAATTTCTATGAATAAAAATATCTTTTAAAGTATGCATAATATTATAATATCACTTTTAACTCCTTTAAATTCTATTTATTTGAATTAAAATTTAATCATATAATTATCAATTCTTACTTTCTACATCTATTTTCCAATTCCTGAGCTGATAAGGCGCTGTGCTGCTTTAAGTCACATTCACAGTGATTTCCACCTTTACCTGGTTGACATTCACATACACCACAAATTAAATCACCTGCGCCATAACATAATGGTGATAGCTTTTCCTTGAAAAATTCGCTTAAATAATATGAGAGAATTTTACTTAAAATTTTATATTCTGCTTGAAAAAAAATTTTTGTAAAACATTAAAACTGCTTTATACATCTGGAAAAGATATAATGTATCCATAAAATAACCTGATTCTGCACTTTTTCACATTCACAACCACATGATGGTGTGATATACATAGCAGAAACGGTTTGATAACCATATGCGCCAATAGAAACCGCAATATCGCCTCCTGATTTGCACTCGTTCAAGAATACTTTAGCGAAAAATTCGATTTGATCACCTATCGAAACATTTGGACATTGCCACCCTTGTACTCGCTTGCTGCAAAATACATTTTTAACCTTTTTTTTTAAATTCAAAAATTGAATCAATTAATAGTTTGAAATAAAAAAGCAAAGTAGTTTCATTTTAAATAAATGTACAAATGAGAAGATATAAATGTAAACTAATATTTTAAGAAATATTTAATAATTACATATTTGATAAATTTCAAATTTAATAAAATATACCCTCCACAAAGAATGGAAAAGTCGATATCAACACCCAATGATCGAAACTTGCTGGTTTGTATAACGAAATCACGCTGACTTGATTGCTGTGGCCTGTGCAGGTATTTGAATGGTATTTCCATTACATCACCTGAAAAAAAAAGGGAAAAAAAGAATCATTTTGATAGAGAAAGCAATCACACAGTGTAATTTTGCTAAGTTTTGGAACAAAAATTAAGACAGTTGTAAGTTTGATGGATTTAAAAAGGCATTAATAGAGAAATAGGTGAGTGATAGTAAAGCGATAGCCTAAAATGAAATATTTTATTTCAAAGATTTACAAAATTCACAACAATGAATTGTGAAAATGAATTGTGTCATGAAATTATATTTTATAGTATTGGTTGTGATTGGATAGCAAAGGCAAAAAACTAGACGAAATTGAAGAAATGTAATACCACCATGGATTAGTGCAACTTGTGATGGAAGATTTTCAACACTTTTGCAGTACAGGTAAATAAATCAGGTAAATAATTAATTGGAAAGATGAGAGGAAAAGAACTGATTAAGTGAGTATAATTAGCGGAGTAACTTGTAGTATTTTATTATTTGATTAGCATAAACTATAAGAAAATGCTGAGGAATGCACTAGTTTGTTGTTTTTGATTCAATAATTATTACTAATTGCTTAATTACTTATCACGTCTAACCCTAAGAAATAAAAATTTTAAATTTTCATCAATAAAATTCTTTTTAATTTTTCTTACTTCTTCTCATATATACTTCTTCATATACAAAATTTAAATCATTTTTGATGATGAACCATTTTGTTGTGATAAGAATTTTTCAAAAAGTGCATACAATTACAAAAACATATGTTTGTTCGATCAGATAAGTTGATCAAGCGATAATAAAATGGTGATTATAGTTGTGACATGGAATTTGAAATTTGAACATTTTTAACATTATTTTCAAAACTGCTAAAATTTTTTCATTCTCGGAAATTTTGTTTAACTTTCTTTTACACAGCAATGATAATTGGTTGCTACTTTGTTTATATGCTTCTTCTTCAGCACTATTTTGCTATTTATATGTTAAAAAGTGCATTTATTTACAAAAACAACACACACACACACACACACACTTTTTTTTTGTTTTTTTTTTTCCAACTTAGTTTATTAAGCAATGTTTTCTGCTTTTTAAATTAGCAATATTTGTCGACGTGAAGTTTGTACTGTTCAACTATTTATCACTAATATTTGAATTGAATCATCAAATTTGAGCATAATAATAGACAATTTATTGCTAACTAAATATATTGTTGCTTTTGAATTGAATTATAAAGTTTAAGCATGACAAAGGAAGAGGAAAACAAAGAGAAAGACTAAATGATCGGATGATTTGCGTCTTATTTTTTCAAATCTTACCAAATAAACAAAGGATATTTACTAACTAACAAAGAATGAAAGAAAAAAAAGTATGTCAAATTACTGACATTTTAAAATAACCAAGTTCATTTTGTTATATGAGAGTTTTTTTCTGAGAGAAATGAGAATTTGAAAGAAATAATTATAGCATTAACTTCTTTTAGCTGAGAGTGAAAAAAAATTTGAAGATGCAAATTCTAGCATTTTATAGTATTTTCAAATAGATCAATTTTATCAGTTACACATGAGAAGACCTAATTTTTTTTTGCTATTTCATAGAAGTGACAAAATTTGGATGCGATATGAGATAGGATACGAGGTAATTATAAAATTTATGGTTACCAGGTTTCATTCTCAAAACAACTTGTTGTGGTTCGAGTTGTACAATCGTTATACCATCTGCTTGTTTACTTCTTAATGGCAAATTCTAAAACAATAATTAATTTTGAAAATTTCAAGAAAAATAAGTTGGAAAAAATTAAAAAAAATTTCATAGTGTCTTTAATTTTTGCAGTAATAGAAAATTTCCACGAATTTTCATCTATAAAGTGCAATTTAGTTGTCCTTACCTAAAAGGATAAATTGCTATGATTAATGAAGTTGCATAACTTGAAGCTTCTGAACTAGTTAAATTGTTCTAAAATTTGTTTAGATTAAACGAAAAAGATTCAAAAATAAATATTACATTTTGCGGTACAATTCGAACTTCTGTAGTCGGTGAATAGATAAGCGATGGAGCGCATTTGCCTTGAAATTCAGATTTTAAATCACATCGTGATGGACCTACCAAATGCTGTAATATTTCAAAACTATTCTTCCTCATAATTTATTATCAATTCGAAAACAAAATTCACAGAAAAATATTTATGCACAACGGTTACATTAATCTTAATATTCCCTTAAGGTTTTTTTTGAAAGTATTTTTTGTTAATTTAAACTCAGATAATAATTGAGTTATACCCAGATAATAAATTAGTTATACACAGATAATAATTCAGTTATACTCAGATTATAATCCAGTTATGCTCAGATTGTAAATTAGTTATACTCAGATAATAATTCAGTTATACTCAGATAATAAATCAGTTATACTCAGATAATAATTCAGCTATAGCCAGATAAGATTATAACTCAGTTGTACTCAGATTATAATTCAGTTATACTCGGATAACAATTCAGTTATACTCAGATTATAAATTAGTTATACTCAGATAATAATTCAGCTATACTCAGATAATAATTCAGTTGTACTCAGATTATAATTCAGTTATACTCAGATTATAATTCAGTTGTAATCAAATTAATATCTGAGAAATGGTATGAGTTAATGAATTAATCAAAATATCTTCTTGTGATATTGTTATATCTGTGGAGAAATGGACGAGTTAATGATTTAATCGAATTATGATATTGTTATATCAGTAGAGAAATGGTATGAATTAATCAAAATATCATCTTGTGATATTGTTATATCTGTGGAGAAATGGACGAGTTAATGATTTAATCGAATTATGATATTGTTATATCAGTAGAGAAATGGTATGAATTAATCAAAATATCTTCTTGTGATATTGTTATATCTGTGGAGAAATGGACGAGTTAATGATTTAATCGAATTATGATATTGTTATATCAGTAGAGAAATGGTATGAATTAATCAAAATATCTTCTTGTGATATTGCTATATCTGTGGAGAAATGGACGAGTTAATGATTTAATCGAATTATGATATTGTTATATCAGTAGAGAAATGGTATGAATTAATCAAAATATCATCTTGTGATATTGTTATATCTGTGGAGAAATGGACGAGTTAATGATTTAATCGAATTATGATATTGTTATATCAGTAGAGAAATGGTATGAATTAATCAAAATATCTTCTTGTGATATTGCTATATCTGTGGAGAAATGGACGAGTTAATGATTTAATCGAATTATGATATTGTTATATCAGTAGAGAAATGGTATGAATTAATCAAAATATCTTCTTGTGATATTGTTATATCTGTGGAGAAATGGACGAGTTAATGATTTAATCGAATTATGATATTGTTATATCAGTAGAGAAATGGTATGAATTAATCAAAATATCTTCTTGTGATATTGTTATATCTGTGGAGAAATGGACGAGTTAATGATTTAATCGAATTATGATATTGTTATATCAGTAGAGAAATGGTATGAATTAATCAAAATATCTTCTTGTGATATTGTTATATCTGTGGAGAAATGGACGAGTTAATGATTTAATCGAATTATGATATTGTTATATCAGTAGAGAAATGGTATGAATTAATCAAAATATCATCTTGTGATATTGTTATATCTGTGGAGAAATGGACGAGTTAATGATTTAATCGAATTATGATATTGTTATATCAGTAGAGAAATGGTATGAATTAATCAAAATATCTTCTTGTGATATTGTTATATCTGTGGAGAAATGGACGAGTTAATGATTTAATCGAATTATGATATTGTTATATCAGTAGAGAAATGGTATGAATTAATCAAAATATCTTCTTGTGATATTGCTATATCTGTGGAGAAATGGACGAGTTAATGATTTAATCGAATTATGATATTGTTATATCAGTAGAGAAATGGTATGAATTAATCAAAATATCTTCTTGTGATATTGTTATATCTGTGGAGAAATGGACGAGTTAATGATTTAATCGAATTATGATATTGTTATATCAGTAGAGAAATGGTATGAATTAATCAAAATATCTTCTTGTGATATTGTTATATCTGTGGAGAAATGGACGAGTTAATGATTTAATCGAATTATGATATTGTTATATCAGTAGAGAAATGGTATGAATTAATCAAAATATCTTCTTGTGATATTGCTATATCTGTGGAGAAATGGACGAGTTAATGATTTAATCGAATTATGATATTGTTATATCAGTAGAGAAATGGTATGAATTAATCAAAATATCTTCTTGTGATATTGTTATATCTGTGGAGAAATGGACGAGTTAATGATTTAATCGAATTATGATATTGTTATATCAGTAGAGAAATGGTATGAATTAATCAAAATATCTTCTTGTGATATTGCTATATCTGTGGAGAAATGGACGAGTTAATGATTTAATCGAATTATGATATTGTTATATCAGTAGAGAAATGGTATGAATTAATCAAAATATCTTCTTGTGATATTGTTATATCTGTGGAGAAATGGACGAGTTAATGATTTAATCGAATTATGATATTGTTATATCAGTAGAGAAATGGTATGAATTAATCAAAATATCTTCTTGTGATATTGTTATATCTGTGGAGAAATGGACGAGTTAATGATTTAATCGAATTATGATATTGTTATATCAGTAGAGAAATGGTATGAATTAATCAAAATATCTTCTTGTGATATTGCTATATCTGTGGAGAAATGGACGAGTTAATGATTTAATCGAATTATGATATTGTTATATCAGTAGAGAAATGGTATGAATTAATCAAAATATCTTCTTGTGATATTGTTATATCTGTGGAGAAATGGACGAGTTAATGATTTAATCGAATTATGATATTGTTATATCAGTAGAGAAATGGTATGAATTAATCAAAATATCTTCTTGTGATATTGTTATATCTGTGGAGAAATGGACGAGTTAATGATTTAATCGAATTATGATATTGTTATATCAGTAGAGAAATGGTATGAATTAATCAAAATATCTTCTTGTGATATTGTT